GCTACAGTCAACCTACAATGTACTAATAAAGTACTGCTCTTTTTGTTATCACGCTGCCTTTATTCACAACCCCAAATGTAACATAGTTGCGTCCCTAAAGTTGTTGATTATACACGAGTCCGATATATACCGTAAAACGGCGTGACTTGAAAAAATTTGGTAGATTTTTCTGTGTAGAAAAATTAACCAACGGCATTACAATCAAATAGGTGTGTGGTAAATGTGCGTGCCCATCTTTTTTTATCAAACCTGCTACTACACCTTTTCCACTTTTATTCGAGAAACTATCAAGTTAATTTGAGAAAGTATCAATTGTATTTGAGAATAGTAAAATGTATTTGAGAAAACAACAAATGTAGTTCAGAATAGTGATTTGTATTTGAGAAGGCATCAAATGAATTTGAGAGTAGTAAATTGTATTCAAGAAATGGTAAAATTAAGCATTTGAGAATCAATAACAAAATCACATGTACAACATAGCCTGATGCTGCTGCTGCTGCTGTTGCGGGACTACATACAGTAGCGGAATTATAAAATTTGATTCTTAATTATAATTCATTAGGAATAATATTACATTCTAAAATACAATAAAATTAAATGATACTTTCTCAAATACAATTGACTATTCTCAAATACATTTGATGTTTTCTCAAATCCAACTGACTATTCTCATCTACTTTGACGTTTTCTCAAATACAAGTAACGATTCTCAAATACAATTTACAACTTCTCGAATAAAAGTGGAAAAGGTGTAGATTCTATTTTCAGGATAAAAATAAAAAATATATTCTATTAACGAATTGGCAAAACAAAATAAATATAAATTCTTGTAAAATAAATAAGTACCTAACAAAAACTAGAATGAATTCTAATAAGTTACAAAATTTATGTGGTTCAGTTCATTTCTGGGAATTTATATTCCCCCCTCCTCAATGTCAAAACCTCACGGAAACATTGCTCAATCTTATCGCTGTTAACCAATGAGATGTCTTGAGCAATTGTAAAAATGAAACTGTTTTTTATTTTGCTGATTTCTATAAGGAACGTGCACATGCAGGATGTACCCCCTTCTTCCACTGACAGAACCTTGCCAACATATTTTTTTAAGGTTCCTTTTGCGGAATGTGTTTTACCACCCCTTCAGTAGGCCGCGACTGCAATCTGTAATTGCACCTTACTGTAGTTTTGATAGGGGCGTACACCCGGCTTTCGCTCATATTTTCGCGGCATTTTTCATTTAACATCACGGAAATTCAGTAAAAATAAATTCTACTGGTAAATGGAATTTTGTGAGGAATAATTTGAGGATATTTTATAATAATGAATAATTTGGACTTTACAAAAAAAATGTACGTAGCTCTCAGTTGTGTATAGTAATCTCGTGACAGATGAATGTATACGACTTATAAAAAACGTACGTTTTTTGCGTTTTTTACCTTGTTTTGATGATTTCTTTTAAATTGGAAGTTGGTGTTTCTGGAAACCGTGTATATTGGTAGGTATGCACAGAATCAGTAGGAACTCAATCAATATTTTTAGTTGCCACTAGATGGGGCGATTTTTTAACTAAAGCTCTGCAGAAATTTTCAAGTCACCCCTTCATTTCAAGTCACACTCACACCGTTTTACAAAATTTGCAAAAATGTGCATACACTCTAAATACCTATAAATATGTACCTACACTTTCTCAAAAAACTTAAATAACAGCTTACTCTGTTATGAGTGACATTATAATATGTGATTTGAATTTGTTTTATGGTAATTATTTCCAAAGCATAATATGGTTCTTTTTAGGCATAAAATAAAGTTAAACAATGTAGTCAGTACGAATGTCTAAATCTACTATGAATAACAAACTTGAACATTGAATGCCATATTTCTCAACATTTTTTTTAACTAATTTTTTTACATGGACGTAGGTAGGGGAACGTGGGGCAAAGTGGACCCTGGGGGCAAAGTGAAACTTACAAATAATTTTGAAGCTACTGGCTCCATCTCTGAGAGACTCGGCTAAGAACAATTAAATTCATCAGTCTAACTCTCTGTAAAGTTATTTTTTAACACTTCCATTAGGTAACCTCAAAATTAGTGAAAACTTATTTTCTGTGCATCCGTTGTAATAATACCTGGTAAGTAAATAACCTGTAACTTAAACTAGCATATCAAAAAATGGTTTCAAATCTAGTTTGCCTGTTTGTGTTATCATATGACATAAAACTTATGATCATACTTTGACATATAAATACAATTCAATATTAGTTTTTTATATTTAACCTATTAGATGCATGTGGGGCAAAATGAAATTTATTAATGGGGGCAAAGTGGAACAGATCCATGTGGGGCAAAATGAAATTTATTAATGGGGGCAAAGTGGAATGGTCCATATTTATAGGTGTATACATCTTGTATTTTAGAATAATGGTTCGAAAATATAATCGAAAGACCACCCAACAGAGTTGGAGTGAAGAGTCGATGAAAAGGGCTATAGAGGAGGTACTCGGAGGAAGTTTAACAGTCAAAAGTGCAGCGGCAGAATATAATGTGCCAAAATCGACCCTATTTAGAAGAGCAAAAAAAGGCAATGAAGAAAATGCCTCAACAGCTGCCAAAAAGGGATTAGGTCGTTTTAGAACTGTATTCAATGTGCAGCAAGAAGGGGAAATCTTAGAATATATTTTATTGATGGAAAAGAGACTCTTTGGTCTGAGTCAAATGGATTTGCGTTCACTTGCTTATCAATTCGCAGTAAGGAATGGTAAAATAGGAATATTAAATAGCTCTTATTTTAAGATTTACCAAAATTTTGCAGGTATTCCTAATAACTTCGATCAAAAATCAGGTTTGGCAGGACGTGACTGGATTCAGGGATTTTTGAAGAGACATCCACGACTATCCATGCGCTTACCAGAAAAAACGTCAGCTGCACGGGCATCAGCTTTCAATAGGCCTAACGTAACTAAATTTTTCGAACTCCTCGGAGAATTAATGGACAGGTACAAATTCTCAGCTAGTCATATCTACAATTGTGATGAGACAGGTATATCTACTGTACCGAACAAACCTGGCAAAATTATATCCCTGAAAGGGAAGAAACAGGTCGGAATATTATCTTCAGCAGAAAGGGGTACCCTTATTACTGTCGAAATATGTTACAATGCAGCTGGATTTTACATCCCACCACTGCTGATATTTCCCAGAGTGCGAAGAAATCCTCTTTTCGAAAAAGGTTTGCCTCCCGAGTCTCTTGTCGAGTGTCACCCAACAGGTTGGATGCAGTCACACATTTTTGCTCCAACTTGGTTTAACCATTTTCTTAAATACTCAAAACCGACAAAGGAGGAACCTGTTCTTCTCATCTTAGACGGTCACTCTACTCACACTAAAAACCTAGAACTGGTTCAAATGTCTAAAGAAAATAATGTGCACATCCTTGTAATTCCACCACACACTTCCCATCGGATGCAACCATTGGATGTGTCGTTTATGTTTCCACTGAGTTCGTATTATGGCCAGGAATGTAAAAATTGGTTGCGTAACAATCCTGGAAAGGTGGTTACAATACACGACAGTGGAGAATTATTTGGAAGAGCGTATCAACGAGCTGCAACCATACAAAATGCATTGAGTGGATTCAAAAATACAGGCATTTGTCCATATAACCCCGGAGTATTCCCCGACGATCTGTTTGAACCAGCTGAAACAACTAACAGAAAATCAAACAACGGAAACGGTGAAGAAGAAGATGCGCCAGAAAATGAAAGCAACACTCCTCCTGATCCCATAGAACGTACACCTTCACCTGGAACAGTTGAAAATATTCCACCACAGCCCAATGATGCAAATTCATCGCCGTTACCTGGCTGTTCTTATAAACAACAACAATCTCAGCAGTTATATTTCTCCCCACAGGACATAATGCCAATTCCAAAAGCTGATACGCAGAGACCAAAAAGGAACTATAAACGAGGGAAGACCATGATTCTAACTTCTACCCCTAATGTAGAGGAACTCAAGGAACACAATCGAGTGTGCCAATCGAGGAAGCCAAAGAATCTTGCTACACGGAAACTTTTTTCAGCTGCAAAAAAAGGGAAGAAGTTGAAGGTAATCCAAGAGTCGAGCTCAGATTCCTCTTTGCAAGAAAGTAAAGATCTATGTGATGACTCATTATCGAGTTGGAACGAAGACGATGTGGATGAAATATCAAAGCCTTTGCATCAATCCCTTGCTGTTGAGCAAGTGAACGTTGAAGATATTAAAGATGGAGATTTTTTAAAAGTAAAACTTGCTGATGTAAAAAGTAAAAGCACAAAAATATTTGTTGCTAAAGTTCAACAAATTGAGGATACAACAGTTACAGTCTCATTTATGCGCCAATATAGGCAAAACTTTGACACATACGTTTTTCCTGAGATACCTGATGAAAGTGAAATATTTTTCAGCGAAGTTGTCGGTCGTCTACTTAATCCTAAAATGCTTCGGCATGGCCAAATCAAGTTTGATATAAAGTAAATTTTTTTTCAGCATTATTTTTTGTGAATTTTTGCGTATTATTATTGACAAATACATAATTAAATTAAATATATTGCTCGCCATCTTGTTGTATCATATTTATTTAGTTTCTTCAGTTTGCTACTTAGAGTTTCACTTTGCCCCAGGTTGGTTTTCACTTTGCCCCTTATAAGGGGCAAAGTGAAATTCTTGCGTATGTTTACTAAAAAAATTATATTCCGAACAATTTCAAATTTTATGCCCAATAGATATATACCGTATCTAAGTTAATAAATATACTAAAAGTCTTGAAGATAAGGAACTCTATAAATCAAAAAATTAATTTTTTATAAGGTGGTCTTTCTTAAGGTGTCCACTTTGCCCCACGTTCCCCTACACTACATTTTCTGTGGCCTCGGCGCAGGCAACCAAGGCGTTGGTTACTTCGGATATAGATCAGGAGGCAAGTAAGGAAATCCCAAAAAAGCGAAAAAGAATCAGAAATAAATTTCTTGATGATGATGATTCTTCAGAAGGTAGTACGTCAGATGCCACAGAAAAGGAAAACATACCAGAGTTCCCCGAAATGCTTATAAACGAAGGTACCTACTTTATTTATACAATCTTTAAATTTTATAATTTAATTCTTTCAGATTCATTTAATAAACACCGTCCGATTAAAATACTGTCGAATGTTCAAGTACATAGAAGTGCCACACCATCTCGAAGTAAGTATGCATTTTTGCTAATTCCATGCTTACCTATAGTAATGTAACCAAAACCATTTTAATAGGTCCTAGTACAACAACATGTTCCAATACCCCTACTAGTAGGCGAAACGATGATTCCCAAACCATAACTCAAGCCGCGACTAATTATGACGACTGTGATAGTGGAGGTATGAGTAAATTGTTACCCATTTTAGAACATATCATTTATCTTATTGTAGTTTTAGTGAAAAACAGTCAGTTAAATACACTGGTGAAATACATAGTAAGCAATAATAAATTGATAAAGCAACAGCAAGAAGCCATTGCCGAGTTAACAAGTAAAGTTAACGCACTTCTTGAAAAGAGCAGCGATAATGTTCAGGCTATACAAACGTGTGCCCAGTGGAAGGAAAGAAAAACAAAATTATTTCCTATTACAGAGGTTGACCAAGTAAACCAAATTGAAGAGCTTTTGACTGAACATGAGTTTCAAGAATATCTGGTAAACATTTAACAATTTAACATCATTTTCACATGTTTATCAATAAACGTTTAATTTAGATTCAAACATGGTCCACAGAGGGAGGCAAAACCGTCAATGAATGCGTCAGAAAAATTATGCCCTTGGTGATTACAGACGGAGTTGGAATAGCATTTAGTTACCATGGTCATAAACAGAAGAAGGATTTCTCAAAATATAAATTATTGAATAGAACTATTATTGGTAAGTTAAATTATTTATTCTCATTAAGTTTAATTATTTACTGTATTCCAGAAAGTGTAAAGTTAAATAATAATAACGCCACTTCGAAAGAAGTCGAATTACAAGTAGCTGTCTGGCTCACCAAGTGCTCTGTGCGTAGAAATAAGTCCATGTTAATCTAATTTGTACCTACATTGCATATGTAGTAACTAGAGAACATATATATTGTCTGTGGTAGTAATATATATGAAGATTGATAAAACAAATGCGTTTTATTGTAGCAACCTACAATAAGCACTCTGAAATACATGATATAGACAATTTGCAAAAATCTTTGATATTGTAAAGGACCAGCAGTAGTAATATTCTATCAATTCTGTACTATACCACCGGTGAGTTCATTTGCTTTAGTGATTTTACAATAGCACAAATTTTCGCGAATATATATAGAATTCGTGCTGCAAGATTATACTTGAAATATGTAGAGAATATTCGTGTTGCGGTTATGTATGTTCCAAAAATATTCAATTATTCATTCAAGGAATATTCCAGAAATTCTCCTTAGAATATTTAAAAAAGGGACATTTCAGATTCAGGGAATATTCTCAGAATAATCTAAATATTGTTATAATATTCCAAGAATATTTGAATATTCGCAAGGAATATTTTTTAATCATTACAGGAATGTGATTTTGTTATCTGGGTATTTAACGTACTTACTGTTATTATTTACGATTATTTAATAAAATATGTTCGAAATAAGATATGTCCATTTAAAAAGCATTGGGATAATGCTGACCGTAATTACCCGCAGAGTGGGGTGATTCCGGTCAATGACGTGTCATCAATTTGTCTAAATTTTCTTCATGGTATTAAATATTGCTGTTATCAGAATTTGTCAATGTATAGTAGCCATATTAACCATCTTATAAACCAAGGATCTTCGATAAATGATCAATTCTAATTAAGGCTTAGGTGACCGCTATTCCCCCATTCTCCCCTACCAGGTGCTGTGTTACAGCATTTTAATGTTGCAGATCATTCTGTATTGGAGCTGCAGAGATGGTTAGAATGTCGCGGAATGAAGAAATCTGGTAACAAACAAGAATTGATAGAAAAGTATATTGAAAAAACTAGATTTATTTACTGTTTATTTATGTATTTTTATTTTTTAGGGTGCAGAATTGTATTAGTGCAGGGCGAGAAAGTCATAGAGGAAATGTGGATAAAATGGCACACTTTTTGTTAAACGGTAAATATATTCGTCAAAAATGCCAATACAAAACTGGGACAAATATAGAGCATAGCTTATCTATTTATCTGTTGAAAGGAAACAAAAATATTTCATTATTCCAAAAAAGAAAACTTAAATATGTGACCTCTCACTACAAGTACAAGTATGCCATTTTATCCAAACAATCAGATAATATGGCATACACCTTAACTATTATTATTTATGTACACAGTTCGCAAACAAATGTTTTCACCCTGGGGGTAACGCCAGCGCATTCTGTGTGACTCCACTTTTGGCAAGCTTGGCACTGAACCCAGGTCTCTTTTGCCTTAGACATCGAATAAAGTTCGTTACAATATATGCAAGATGCTTCATCTTCGTTATCATCCTGATCTGTAAATGGATCCTCTTCACTTTTTTGTCATATTCGGGATGTCTCTCATTTAGGTTAATTGTTGCTTTCTGTCTTCTCATGGATCTTCGTGCTTCCAGCGTTTTCTTTGTTTCAGCTTTGTCTTTCAACTCTGCCAAGTTTGGAGTAGAATTCAAAACTAATGGTCCCTGGCTTCTACGCTTTCTTTTGTTCTCTGCATTTTGTGCTTTTGGAAGTCCCTTAATCATCTCCAATGAAATGTGTTTTCTGTCACGTGATCCATTCTTCTTAGTACCTTCTTCTGGAGCACCTTTATCATGTTGTGGTGAAGGCGTTCTCTCAAGTCGAACCTGCACAGCAGACGTCGACGACTGATTCATTCCAGAATCAAGTGAATAATTTTCACAGGGTTCAGGTTGCGAAATTTCTTCATAGGGCATCGTTTGAGATGCTTGCATTCCGGAGGGTGCAGGTTCGATTTCTAGCCCTTCAATATCGGTAACCTCGGCAGGGGCATACATCCAGTCCGGGAATATGTGTGGGTTTAGTGGATAAATGCCAGTATTTTTAAAGCCACTGACTGCGTTTTTCATCACAGCAGCTTTTTCATAAGCTTCTCCAAATAGCTTGCCAACCTGGTAAACGGATACAGTTCTTCCCGGATTATTTTTTAGCCAACCAGATATAGATTGGTTATAGTATGTTGATAATGGGCCAAAAAATGCTACGTCGAGAGGCTGAATGCGATGGGTACAGTGTGGTGGAGTGCAAAGTATAATAACGCCATTTGCTTTGGCTGTTTCCAGAGCGTCCAAATATTTATGGCTCGAATGGCCATCGAGTATAAGCAGAACTTTTTTTTCAATCGATGCGTCTGTATATTTTATAAAATGAAGCAACCATTTATGGAATAAGGGACCCGTCATCCATCCAGACTCTTGACATAACTGAAGTGTGCCAGTGGGAGCGTCGTCTGTCAGTTCCGATTTAGCATTCTTTCTTGAAAAAATGAGAGCTGGTGGGATAAAGTGTCCGATCGCGGATTCATGCAACAAACTACCGTTGTGTGTACGCCACGCTCAGCACTTGTTATGGCTCCTACCTGTTTTCGCCCTTTCGTAGCAAATACTTTCGATGGCCTTTGGACTGTTGACAGCGCCGATTCATCCATGTTAAACATTCTTTCGGGCGGAATTTCATACTTTGCGATAGTGTCCTCTAAAAGTGAAAAAAACGATGATATTTGTGGCTTATTGAATGCACTAGCTCGGGCTATCGATGTCGCTTCTGGTTGCCTAAGGAAATGCCAGGATGTCGTTCGCGGAAGCAGTACAACCAATCCCACCCCGCCATTTTTTCTTTATGGTTGAATCGATGGTGAAGGTTATTTCTTTCCGCAAATTGATAGGCAAGCCTTCGAAGTTCCACAGTAGTTATACCATAGAATCGAACTTCCATGTTCTTCACGTATTCTATCAACTCTCCTTCCATGTTTGGTGGAAAAGTAATGGACCAACGTCCAAGGCCTTTATTGAACCCCTTGATACCCCTTGATTGAAGTTGTTTTGGGAACGTGAAAACGTTTGCTAGCAGCTAACCAACCCATTTCTTTATTGTTAACAGCCCTAATTGCCCGGTCCATGTTTGCCTGACTCCATCCCTGCCGTTGGGTTTTCCTTTTATATCGATCAGTCCTTCCCATATTCTGTTAAAAAAAGCAAGTTCAAATACAATATATGCATTTGGCTAAAACGGCACAGTGCCATTTTATACCGACCTCCCCTGTGCCAATTTATCACAAAGTGTATGGCAACAATTTTATATTGATATTCATAACTACAAATGCGTATAAATAGTAATTACAATATAGCTTTACACTTTGATATGTCACTTACCTACTGCAATGTAATAAGCCTTTCAGAAACTTTCTGCTTACGATATCCAAGCACGTGTTTGTAGGACACGAAAATAATAACAGAGGCTTCAGCCATAACACAACAGCTGATCGCTGCAAATCGGCTGGTACTGAACTCGTGCCAACGCTACACAAGCGGAAGCACTCTGCTCTGTTCACACAAGAGCATAGTGGCGGTAGAAGGCGCGCCTTTATTCAAATAGAGCTAGTGTGCCATTTTATCCACGTGTGCCATATTATCCACATTTCCCCTATATGGTCCAAAGTAAACACAATTGTCATTAAAGTAAGAAGAGAAAATGTACAACAATCAGTAATTAATGAAATACTTATAAAATTAAAAAAACTATATTACAATATGTATATTCCAGAAATGTTTTTAATGAAAATTCCAAGAAATTTACCTCTATTTGAAATAGAGTGATATTTGTAGGTAGTTTATAAATATACTTAATTATAATAAAGTTTTTGATCTTTAAGATTAATTTTGTTTCTACAATGAAAACTTACAATATTGATGGTTTTTCAAAATTAATTAAAAAATAAACTATACTAACAATATTTGAAATTATTGTAAGCATAGTAATTGGAATTGATTTGTTTAACAATTGATAAGTTTTAATTCTTTGAATAGCACGCTCCACATGTATCCTTGCTTTAGCTATCCTTTTTGTCAGAACTTCTTCTTCTGCTGTAAGTTTTGATCGACCAGCAAGAAAAGGGGGAATTAATAATTTATAATGATGTTCGTCACAAATGTCTTGAATTAAAAATCCTCTATCGGCCATCAAGACATCACCACGTTCAAGAAAATATTGAAAATTGGAATTTTTGGATAAAATTTCAAATAAGAACTTCTCATCAAAAAAAGACCTTGCGACCGTTTGACATGCAGTTGTGTTATAACGAATGGTTTTCTTCTTACGGTTAGCGTATGTGTGGTCCATCTCACTTTGGTCATTACCATCTGATATGTCCATTTCTGTACCACTAGAATTTCCAATTTCGATAAATTCTCCAACTTCAAGGTAGGTGTATTTTCTTTTTTCACTTTCATCGTACTTTTCATAAAATGGTGAAGGATCAATGCTGCCTTTTAAAAAATGACTTTCGCAAACGTAAACGTTTCTTGTAATGTTGTCCAGATGAAGGTTTTTGTTCCCGCACAACTCCAACCACAACAAACATTTCACTAAATTCGTTTTGGGCTTTGGAAAAGGATGAAATTTAATGTTTTTATTTTTTGATCTAAAACTGTTTTTTACAGTTATTATAAATGCATTTGGGCATTTTAAGAAAGAAAGTAACGTTTTCTAATGATAATACAAAGAAAAACAAGGTGTTACTCTTGAAAAAGACTGTTTTTGTCACTAAAGGAAAAATAATGGAATACGATAAACGGGGAAAGAGATGAATTTAAGCACGGATAAGCGTAACAAAAGTTGAAAAGTAAAAAAAGAATGACAAAACAAGAGCAAAAATGGAATAAATGGGAACAGAGATACAGGAAATACAATGGAAGATTATGATTAAAGTGAGGTTATAAAGTAAAATTTGTAAACAATTCAAAACATGGTTATAGGGTTTTTTGTTCAACAAATTAGTTATTTTTTTAAAATAAAACATTTTTACTATCTTATGTTGGTGAGAATGTTAGATAAAGAAAACATGATGGTAGAGTTTCTGTCTTTATCTTAACTTACAACGAAATCGTCTA